TCAGAGGAGCCTCGTGGATGTGTTGCATCTCTCTACGCAATACAATATGGTTGGATTTTGCATTAGACATCGGGACTGTATTCATGCTTGCTGGGATCGAAGAGGTCAGAGTCACGGAAAGGAGAAATTGTTGGGCTTCCTGGAGTGCCGGAAGGGCGCGGAAGGGACAAGGGTAACGGTGAGCGTAAGGGTGAAATTTATTGGCGCCAAGTTGGAAATAGAATCCGTCCTTCGATTTTGGGGCTTTTGGAAGGATCGGTTCAGGGGAGGGACATAGGCACGACAGATGTGTTGGCTTCGAGAGGGTAATAATATAAAAAACGACCGACCGACTCACCCTCTCGGTCACCGGCGTCCCCTAAAAAAGACCAGTAATTTCGTTCCGAGACTTTTATCGGATTTCATGATCTACAGGGCAATTTTTAGGTGTCACCTTTAGTCACTCGCGTTTCTAGTCTCTCATTCGTTTCTTTCGCTTCTTTTCTTGCCGATGAATCGACGGATTCGACGATATCGACGTAAAGGGTCGAAGGAGAATTATTTCATCCTGCATAGTAACAGCCGGCTCTCTAACATGTAAATTATCTGAATTAAACATTTCTGATGATCAGTTGAAGATGACAATAAAACAAAGCACATTAAGTAACGCCATTTCAATGTACAAGGCGTTTAACGAACATTGGTATACGTATTTCTTCGTTGGTTTCAATGGAACGGAAAAATGGTTGAATGCACCGAAAATGTAGACATTGAGGTGCATCATCCTTGGGAGATTATTTTTCACTGAGTAAAGACGAGGATGGCGTAGCGTCACAATGGCTGAGAAGTAGACTATGAAGCCGATAGAACAGAAGAGGGAGAATTCTTTTCCTATAACCGCTTCTAGATAAAGAAAACGTCAGTCGCAGGCTCATTCTGATGGAAAAAGGAGGTACCTTGACGATGGATTACGCCCTGTTGAACCAGCATCTCTTTGCGAGTTTACTTTAAAATTCTCCATTGGAATCTCAGCGACCTCACGGAAAATCTCAGGAAAATTACAGCTCTAAAAGATGTATCAATCAACGAAATATGTCTTAATATCGCACGTATACAAAATAATTTATTAACAGCAATAAAATCATTAGATCGAAATTGACCACGTTTAATTTTTGCTGATTTTGTCCATAACAAACCACCAAGTTCTCCTGCTGACAACTACATTTGTTGATTTTTATGTTATCGTCAGTTTTCGAACATTTATTAATACACCATATATTTTTACACTCAACGTTAAACGTATAATATTTCCTATTGCTATGATATAAAATGCGTAAAGGAAGATGGAATAATTTTTTACTAAAAGAATATTTAAATTGACCAACTGTGCACGGGTGGGTCAGTGGTGATAACAGTGATACGATGGCACAATGGCAAAGAAGTAGAAGAGACGAGGTCTATAAAAGAGCAGGAGATGTTCCCTTTTATTATTACCGCTCATGGAAAGAAAAATAAAATGACCATGGCAAGCCCTTCCGGGAGGTGAATGAACCCTTGGTAAGGGATTACATTCTGTAAAGGGAAGATCCCATCACCAATTCCCTTTAGAATACCCTCGCGAATCTCCACGACCTTACGAAAAGGTCTTGCGGATAATACGGTGATATAGAGGTGATGAATCAACGCCATTCTGATATACTGGGTGTTTCGCACTAATGGACAGATACGTTAATGTGCTGATTTTTAATCCATATTTCAAAATGGTGATAACTGGTAATAGAGAAAAATATTAAGCATCGAATCTTGCAGAATGCAGAAATAAAATGAAGCTATACAGCTGTTCTCTTTTAAATGAATTAACAATGTATAATTTAGCCACTGCATTTTCTATTAGTAGTTCTTCTTGATGAAATACCCATTGTACAATCATCTTACGAGACGAATTACTGTTGAAAATGGCCTTAGAGAGTGTGATTCAAAATTTCGTTTAATAAGGTGACATGTATTCAAAATTCTTATTATATTAGTAAAGGTTCTAATTGAAGCGTGTAATTAATTTAAACATATTTTCGAGAAGTTAGTGGAAGATAACGGACAAATTGCTCATTAATAAAATTTAAATTATGGCATTTTTTTTTGTACGAATTGTATGCGGTCGATCTGATTTGGGCGGACTCTTGACTCATCTTAAGTAAGAAATGTTTTGAAAAGGAATAAGTATAGATATGAGAGATCGACTTATGGCTTTAAATTTCAACTTCAAAGTGTCTCGGTCTCGGGCATGCTCTCTTCTGGGGGGTATCTCGAGTAGTTCTCTCAAGAACGACTAACAGCTCTTGAATTCGCAAGTAGTTCCAACTTTGATTCTTCAGCCTCTCCTTCGAGTTGATTCCGAGAGTGAGAAATGTCTAGGTAACTGGTCAGTAGTATAATTGTTCACGGTACATCTTCCACGTGGATCCTTCACCCCCGAAGATTTAAAGATCATCGTAAATCTCCACGCGAAGCCATTTCATCCCTTTCCGTCCAATCTGCTCTAATTACTCGTAAATTAGATCTCGTCGTAATTCTTGCAATTCTTCCTCTCTTGCAAACGCGTTCCAGCCCTCGCGATAAGTTTTCGCCTATTTTTGATTATTTAAACACATTTTTTAATGGTGGGGGTGCTACCATTATTAGTACCCAGCACCCCCAAAGAAAAATTGAATTTTTTTCCAAAAACCGAGCTAGCACAAAATTTGCGAATGTAGCACATAATTAGCACGTAAAGAGCACAAAATGTTAAGACAAAGAAATTTGAATTTTGTAAAAGTGGGGGTGCCAGCTTTACGCACCTCCTCGCTGGTGTTAAAGTCATTCGAATGATCTCAAGGAACCGACTGCAAGCTTTTCCCACGATGATTCAAAATCCTTTTCGCCTTCTTCTCATTCTTTTTCTCCTCGCCCCATGCGGTTAACATAATCTTAGGTTTTTCTGACATCTCGATCCCACGTTCGGGATCGTCCAAACACTTTCGGTCCCCTTTCCGCGGATCCCCGAAGACGTCAACGGGGATCCAAAAATAGGGACTCTTTTGCGTGGAGACGACGTTGGTCTCGACCCCAGGGCCGTAACACGTGTTAATGTTTACTTCTGGTTACGGAAACTCTCCAGTGTTCCTCCTTTACGGGGAGGTCGTGATAAAGTTCCCGCCTAAACGGATAACTCGGTTTTTCTAAGAGTGTTAAAATCCCTCAGAGATTCGCTCTTCGAAGAGATTATACAGAAATTACAGCTTGGGACTCCCTCGTGGTTTTTAATGCCATTTATACGAAACGATAGTATCACAGTTTACGGTTTTTCCATAACTTCCACCCTGTTAAAAGAATTCATAAAATTTATACACTTTTAGTATATAAGGTTGCAGTGAAATTATAAATATAATGTCTTAATAGTGAATTAATATACATGTATTATGAATTCTAAGTGAATTTACAATTTTATAACACCGTGTCGTAATTTGATGAAATTCCGGAGACAAATTATACACTTGATATTCGAAAGTGATTTAGTGCGCATCGTTTGCAAATTTTTTAGACGACCATTTAATTTTATGATCGTTGACATAAGTTTATTTTTAAACAAGAAAAATAAACTAGAGAGTATGGAATATTTTTGCAATTTCTTATCATCCTTAGAGAACCCGTTTTTTAAAGACATAGCGATACAGAATTTCCGATGACAATCGGCTAAGGAGAAGTGACTGCAACTGTCCTATAATACAATGGATTGTATTTCCACTTTGAACGATATTTCCAATATAGGTAGGTGTTAGGCAAGCACAAATTTCGGATCACGAAATTGCCGAGATGACACGCTGAACCAACAAAGATTAGGAAACTTGCGCTCATGACAGTGCACTTAGTCCGCATCCCTCGGGGATGTTCTTTTTTCGTCAGCAAATCCTAATGCAATCACAAGGTCGCCGAATATGTTCCCCAACTACAGTTTCTCGTAGGTGGAGGCAAATTGTTATAATCTCCCCTTTGAAGGGTACTCAACCGAGCGCTATAGTGTCCGGCTTTGTGTTGATCCTCAAGGCGAGGGTTTCAAAGAGAATACGGAGCACCGGATTGTACTGTCGCCTGCACGTAGGTGGAGTTACATATTCCTACACAGGAGCACGCAGTTATACGAGTGCACGGCTTTGCGAGGGATTTCGATTCCGTTGCGCGATCCGGATATTAATAGCTTGCAATTGGGGAATTACGAGAAAGCAACCGGGAAGTTGGTCTGCACTGGACAATGCAATTTACGGTCATTCGCTCGATCGGGTGGACGGAGATGACGTATCCGCGTGGCGCAAGACCTGCCGAGTAACATTTTAATGACTCGTTGCTAAAAATTCAGAAAAACACCGGCTTAAGGGGATGTGAAAGCTCATTCGTTCATAAAACTCATCTACAAAGTGGGTGTCTCAAATCGTTTCATACTTTAAAACGTGGATACGGAGACCCTAAGGTAGGTCCTTAAACTCGCGAAATTTCATTTCTTATAAACTATTTTTAAAATACCTATAAAGAAATTTGAAAAGAATTGAAACTTCATGAGTTTCAGGACCTCCCTTGTAGTCTCCCTGTTCACGTTGTAAAGTTTCAAACCATTCGGTAAATCGAGTTGGGAGAAAAGTTTTATAAACAAAACCTCTTCGACGCCACTTTCACATCACCTTAAGGTGAAGTAAAACCTCCTCCAAATCAGTCGACTCGAATAAACCAATTTTTTTTAAGAGTATTGGATAGAAACGTCTGAAACTTTGACACATGAGACAATTGATACACTTATTTGCTGAATTTATAACCCATTTTATAAATCTATTGTAAATATATTATAAACTTAGTATACCATGTTTAACCCTTTGCACTCCGCGCCATCCCATATAGACTTAAAATGTCCCCTCAGAGGGGACATCGGAGTGCAAAGGGTTAGATAAAAAATCCAGTAAAAATATAATAAAATTATAATATTTTTCTTTTTACAGGGCACGAGACGTCGTTTACTCCGCACGAATCTCTGAGTCCATCCACCCTGAAAGTCCGACAGAAAAGGTAAGTACCTCGTTTAAATTGTACCTGCATTTTGCATAATTGTTTAATTCCCAAAGAAATCGAATCCAGGGCAATTTCCCCCGCGTTATTGCACGTGTCTAGGAGGTTAAGCAGGTAAAGGGGTGGAAGCCGCTTCGTTAGACGCGAACCGCTCGCCCCGACGTGGGAAAACTCTCACGGGGATCTAGACCCACGGGCGGCGAAGGCTTAAGTCAGGAAAGATCCACCCTAAGCTCTTCGGGGTACACACTTCCGAGGTAAGAGTTACATGCCGGCAAGTACCCAGGACGCGATCGCGCACGTGGATGCATCGCGCCCTTAACGCCCGCTCGCCGACGCGGCGTGCACTCGTCTACGTGCCGGGGTCGCACTTACCGCGGTACTCACCTCGGAGAAGGGAGGGGGACGTGTCACCACGTGGGTAATCGCGTGGTCTGGGTGTCATTCCTCGGTAAGGAGCCGAAGTTACGAGGAGAACTTACGACTCGGCCTCTTCTTGTCGTGCTTACCGAGCCCCACGTGGGCGGGGACCCCCACACAAAGTCCGTCGTCACGGACGCCGGCGAAAATGACGGCCGTGCATGGGTGTGCACGCTTGCGCGCGTTTTGTCTCGTAAGGAGGAGTTGTAGGCACGGTAGGCTGGCTAGGCCTCTTTGCGAAGGTAAAGCTGGCCCACTTGTTGCTGCACACTCCGTGGAGCGATTAAGCGTCGAGGCCTGAAAGGCCGCCTAGAAACCCTCTTGGAAGAGGAGACGCGAACCCGTTATTTTCATGTCAAACAATTTACGGAGAAGCTCGCTTCCCCTACCTCCGCGGAACTGTGCACTTGCATTTGCATGGGGAGAAGTCGACGGCGCCGGAGCTGCAGATGGGATCTTGCAACCAGACAAATTTCCGCGATTTTACCTTGTCTCGGGCAGGATGTTTGTACACCGTTAAAAGTAATTCCTAAAATTCATACACTTTTGGTAGATAAGGTTGCAGTTAAATTATTAACTTGAGGTCTTAATAGGGAATGAGCAAGGTGCGTAAAGCTGGCACCCCCATCTTTACGGAATTCGAATTTCTTTGTCTTAACATTTTGTACTCTTTATGTGGTAATTACTTTTTTTAATGGTGGGGGTGCTAGCTTTATTAGTACCCAGCACCCCCACAGAAAAATTGAATTTTTTTCCAAAAACCGAGCTAGCACAAAATTTGCGAATGTAGCACGTAATTAGCACATAAGGAGCACAAAATGTTAAGACAAACCTGTACTTGGAGTAATTCTGAGCACTAGTTGCGCACTACCACGTTTATTATTGAGTTGGTCAGCTGTAACAGTTCCCTGAGTTACTGTATTGCATTTCGTAATAATTTCAGGAGAAATCGGTGAATGCAATACCGCAAGGTATACGTGCATTTTTATGTTCATATGTATGTGCGTATTAATATACCTATGTACGCAAATAGGTGAAATTTTATGAAGCACGCGGTAATGTTACAAGATTTTAGCGGATTTTCTAAAAATAAATGTCTTTAAAGATAACGTAACTCCACTAGTAATACGATATATCGTGCGGAGTTACGCCAGATCAATACATACACGTTTTCGAAGAAAATCGAATCAACTCTTTCACTTTTCCAAGACTTGTTTATTGGCAAGATTGCAACCTCTGGCACCTACGCTCGTGATCTAGGATTATTAACATTTTTAGTACGTACTACTTTTTCTCACCGAGGTTCCATTTTATCATTTACCTCACAAAACCCTGAATTTAATCTTTCGCCTACCTGACAAATCTTCATTATGTAAAGAAATAAGAGTAGAGGCACCCTCCGCGATGCAATACACAGAAAAATTATGTATTAATAAGAAGCAAAAATCGACGATCGGATATTGTTACTTAGACTGCTCCAGGATTCTTTGTTGTCGAAGAGATCTCGATCGATCCTTTTGTTTTATGAGTCATGCTTATCCTTGATAAAAGATTACTATAGGTAAATAAATTTTAATTTTAATATCACTAGGATTAAAAAAATGCGCGGAGCAATGTTTACCGGGTAACTGTAAGTATTGGGAGGATGCTAAAAAATCTATCCCTGAATTTTGCCGGATTCGACCAAGACTTTGCTTCCGAAGAACGCCGGATCGATTCTTTTGCCTTCTCGAGGTATACTTATCGATATGTGTGCGACCTGAGATTAACCGGTTCAGAAACGACTTTCACTCTCCGCTCGTTTTGCTCACCCACTCGGTACGTCTTATGCACTCGTGCTTGTACGTACGTCCACATGGTAACGCATAAATCCGCATGTTTACGAATACGTCGGCTTTGTTATACGGCGATAATCTGGAAGCGCGACTCTGTCGATATCTCGTCGTCCGTAATGATTTGCCAGGTGTATCGATCGATCGATCAAACGATATCGAGGCCGCCGCGAATTACAAACGGTATAGCCATTAAAGGACTTCAAAGAGTGACGAATCTTTTTAACCGAATCATCAAATTACTCATTTTTATTATCAACGACAGGGAATTATTGATTATAGATACCTGACACGGTACTTGAATTATCTTCCTGGATATATATAATAGGTGAATTGTAGCAATTTTTACGTTTTTAATTTTATAATTGACAGTAACAGATTTTCACGATTGCAACTGGGTACGTATATTTATCGAACCTTCCACTAAAAGATTCAACGTTCATGGAAATTTAATAACTTTATTTTCTGTACTGAATACCTTTGTTTCAATTGCTACCGGTATAGGGTGCGATTGTAACACTTTTAAGGGCAAATGTAACGATACTTATTAATTTGAAAGATTGAGTGAATATTTAAGGATAACAAATATAAGTCCATAAATACGTAATAGCTCAACAGGCTATATTAATTTAGGATTCGTACTGAAATGAATATAAAATTAGGCAGACTTGTAACCAATATACAGGTTAAACAGTAAATCTCAAATTGATTTATTTTATTTCCCATTCTGTTTATGAATTTTGTTATGTGTACAAGGTAAGTTCTCAAATTGAAAGTTTCTGCCACAAATAAATTTTATCGAATGTTTTTGCGGAAACGTAGATGACTAGAGTCAACTTGTTGCAACTGTCCTCAATGTATTCTGTCAAACGATAAATAAGATTATAATTACTTAGAGTTATTATAACTTTAAACGCATTAAACATATAACGAACCACTCTATATGCAATGCCGTGGCATGAGCAAATGAGTTTCATCTGCCCTCAATTTAATACAAACAAAAAATATTAAATCTGAAAATATAACTCAACAATGCCGTTTTACGGCAAATATCGCTAATAACCGAATGCTTGATCTAATAAACGTGAAATTTCTGGTCATTGAGCTCTATATACGTTTTTCCAAGTATAAAGACAACATTTATAACCTTTGTTGCAATTACCTCGTGTTACATTTGACCTCGGTCTTCATTGCGCTATTATATCATGCTTTCTAACGAATTTAATTCACGCATTCGTTCCCGTGAGCAGGTGTAACCACAGAAATTTCTCTAGGTAGAGCCATTTATGGCGCCATCGATCCCATTGGTAATACGGACGTGACCAAATCCGGTGTGGATTTTTAAACCAGACTTCAAGAAGGGTTTGAGCAATGCCGCGCGACCAGACACGTCCAGTCTCCGCAAACACGCGTCATCGGTGAAAAGGTGATCTGGGACGCGTTTCCATATTGGAATAATTTATCTCCGCGTCTTCCCTCCACGAATCGAATTTATTTTAAGCTTTCCGTAGAGGCGAACGGAGGAATGAGTACCGTTTCAATCTGGTACATTATTCTCGGTTGGTGGCAGCCATGTATGCAAAACGATCAGGGAACGTACTCGAGATGAAAATTATTCTCTTATGGAATCTACGGTTCCCGTGGGTTACAGGGCGTCGTAAAATCTTTGGAGGAAGGAGCGAACGAAGGAACGACGTTCCCCGATGTTTATGGGCCACCGTAAAGCGGAATAACTTTGCCGGAAATTTTACGGGTCGCGGGATCCTCCTGGATCCACGACGTCAACCTTACTTCCGTTTTTCGCGTGGATTCGTAAGAGACGGAAAGGAAGGCCACGCGAGAGGAGAACCGGGATCGAGTGAGATGTCTATGTAGGAGAGAACAGCTGAGGACAAGTGATAAGGTGGAGTACAAATATTATAATGGGGGAAGAATGAGAAACCGGAAAGATTCTAAGGGAGAAGGATTGCGATTTTCGGAGGATTGCGACCTTCACACGTAACAATAATATTTATATTAACTCTTTTATTATTGATGAGGAGAATATACTTATAGTTGTTACATGTGATAACGTGTACTAGCTCTTTGCTATACCGATAACGTAGTCGAGGTACGTGGAGCGAAGGATAAAAAAAAAGATTCCAAGGGAGAAGGATTGCGATGGATGGAGGAGTGCGAAATTCGAGAAACTCCTGTGTCCGCGAATGTGCTTCCATGTATTGTTATGTGTTAATAAAAAAATAAATACACATGGAGCGAAGGATAAATATAAAATGAGGCTTTTCAAATAAAGCGTACCCTTTTTCAATCGTGATCGAGAAATGGATATTCCGCTTTCGAAATTGCGGATTCTTTTCGACACCTCGTGAAATCCTGGGTCAACGTCAATACCTATTGTTCAATTAATAGAAATTTCAAATGAATTTTTTCTACGAGTCACATTTATACTCAAGGGAGGAATAAGAGCATTTGAATTGTTCAAGTTGTAGTTGAGGGTTTGTGTTTGAAAACGGGGAATGGAATCGTACGTATTGAGAGAAGGAAAATATGAAACCGTATTTCTCACAACAGTGGCCGAGCCGTGAGAAGATCATCTCGATATTTATTTACACTCTTGCGGCCATTGTTGTTTCCGCCTACCTTCGTCTTTCCAATGTTTGCTCGTGTTTTCAAATATTTGGCGAAACCTTTCGCCGATTCGTTCGTCTTCTCTTTCGGATGGAACTTCGAAGAGTACACAGTGAAAAG